CCGGAAATTTGTTGTTTTATAGAAAAAGAAAGTATCATTGCTCTCGATGGATGACGTATTTGGGGCCTACTCAACGGATGACGAATCCACGAAACATTCGATGTCACGTTGCTCGATTGTACCATCCCTGTACAAAGAAAAAGATGAAAAGGACGAGGAAGGCAGCACTGGCAAGAGAAGAGCAAAGAAAGCAACCGATACTAGTACTAGTTTTAAAGAAAAAACAACCGATAAGAATTCTGCCTGTAAAAAAGAGAAGCGAAAAGAAAAAGTGAATGGAAACGACGAGGAAGAACTGTCTAGCATCGATCACAAAAAAGAGGTATGCATTCTGAAAATTCGCATTTTTTAAAATTTTTTCCATATTTTTTGAAAAAAGAGGAAAAGTGAAGCACGACAAAAGCCCAAGGGAAGAAAGAGATACAGCATGAATATATTGCAATATGTATAATGGCGTTTGAGTATTCAAAATTTTCGTTTTGTTGTTTTTGAATTTTTGTTTTGTTGAATTTTTTGTTTAAAAAAGATATTTGGAAGAAGTTTTTTTCTGAGAAGATTGAGTAATTGCAATTGCGATTTGATTGGGGTCTTATAATTTATTTCAAAACACCGTTAATTTAATTTAAAGTTGACAGGATCCCTTCCTTATTTTCGTTTTATGAAAAACACAGAAACCTTGAAAAGAAAAAACTACTCCAGATGGCAACAGATTCCAAAAATGCTGATGGCCCCCTTCTAATAGTTATTATAGGTAAAAGAATGACGGATTTTACTACCGGTGCCAGTGCTATCGAAGCGAATGAACAAGTCTTAGAAAGCTTTTTTCTTGTTATTATGTGTTAGCACTTAGCCTGAAACATGTCTTATTTGAGAATTGCTTGCAGACTGCAACATCAGTGGTTTCACACAAATCCTTGGCGCAAAAATCGGAAAAAACGAAGCAGAAAAGCGAAAATTTGCAAGAAAAACTCGAGAAAAGGTTTCCCGGCAAAAAGCGTACCAAAAAGAATGATGAATCAGATGGAACCGGATCTACTGTTACCACCGCCACGTCTATCAGTGCCACTCCTACAGCTGGTACTTCTACGAATGCGACAGTAACAGGAATGCCAGAAAAGAAAAAACAAAAGACAGTAGGTTTTTTGTGTGATTTTCTTTTACTCTTAATATATTTTACTCGCGAATACTTTGACCTGTCGTAATTCATAATGTTTGGTTCCTCACCTTTGTGTTTTTGCGTGCTGTGCGCAGATATTTTAGCGTTTCTGCATTACCGAACGATGGTCATACTGACTGTCTCAGAAAGTCTGCGGA